TGAAATTTTTAACTGTTTTTCAGTGTTTGAACTATTTTTGCATAGACTATAGTACAAAGCAGTGAAGATCATTGATAGGCTGAATTGCACAAAACGCGTGATCGCACCGGCTAGTCTGGTGCGCGTTGCTATTTATTTATATAGTAAGGAGGGACTTTTCCCTGGATTTGTGCCGTCTGGTAGTTTTCTTGCCGCTTGTGGCTGTGGTACTTGTTTTCTCCGAGTTCTTTTCTTTCGGATTTTGCTCCTGGATGTTTGATACTTTACTCACCACCTGCACGCACCTCACTTTAATAATCCTTCTTCATTTCTCTTCTGTAATGAACATCGTCGATCGGTAAAATTCTTCGGTTGAAGTGGTGATTTACCGCACTTTTTGGGAAAAAACTGCGATTTTCCGATGAATTTTCTTACGATAAATCACTTTTCGCCGTTGAGAAATTTCTTAGAGGTTTTTTGGGAATCAGAATGAACGAGGAATGCATCATCCGGAAACTGATCGCCGATGGTGATGGTGGCGGTGACGACCGTCGTTTCTTCACGTTGCTACCTCTCCTGCTGAAAGTTGCCAAGGATCCCGAGAATTCGCAAAGGTATTAATCATTATTATTATGATTTTTGTAATATTTACATCTAGCAGATTGTGCGAGATAACAATTACTTTTGTATGAAAGTAAATCCTTTCAAAAATTGTGGTTAAAAACGTTTATGCGTTCGGAAATGCACCAATTGGTAGCAAGCGTCAACGGCATCCCTTACCGGCTGAACTTTCAATGGCTTCCTCTTCTAGAGTTAGACCCCTGGCATGAACTGGTACTAGTTACCATCGAAACGAATCAACGGATCTACTAGTTCAATGTACATACAGGCTTGCTTATTTGAGAGATCTAAATAGCATTTCGAGTTTTTTATGCGTTTTTTTTGCATCCACGCAATGCAGGAAATGCATATTCTGTGTATGCGCTGGGCGTCTGTTCCGATTTTTCATCTTGAGACCTACAAAAACTACAGGGCTGAAACTTTGGGAACTTAATCTACATGCATCTGTGGATCCCCATCCCCAAAGTGGGCGATCTTACCCTCGTAGTATCCACGTATGGACGCGTGAAAATTTTTGCGGGTAAGCCGCTAACTCGGGGACCAGAAAGCTAGGAAGCTTAAATCTTAAGGTGGTATTCCCCGTCCACATAAGTCTTAATGAGCTTCAAACCAGTCCGCAGGTATGCGTGGCACCACGTACGGGCCTGTCACTTTTGGGAAGTTGCTAACTGGCAAGCCTGAAAAGCTAAAAGACTGGAATTTGAAAGGGTGTTTCCCGTCCAAGTAGGTTTTGATGCGTTCAAACTCAACCTTCGGGCATGCGTAGTACCCACGTACGGCTCCGCCAAAGTTTTTTTCGGGTAGATTGTTAACTCGGGGACCTGAAAAGCCAGGAGATTAGAAATTTAAGGGGATGTTCCCCATCCATGTACGTCCTATTCAGTTCAAAACTTGCCCCCGGGTATGCGTAGTTCCCGTGTACGAGTCCGTGAAATTTTTTTGCGGATAAGTTACTAATTCGAGAACCAGGAAAGCTAGGAAGCTGAAATTTTAAACGGATGCTTCCTGACAGTCCTGGCGGCCAGTCTGAATTCTTTTAACTAGAAGCATTTGCCGGAAAAATTGGCGCCGGTAGCGATAAAAACTGCGGAGAGCTATGCAAAAAAAACGTATTTTCGACCGGCAGTCGGTGCATTGGCCAATTATTCGTTAATTGTCACAGTTCAATTGTATTGCTCTCCACGATGGACCAACAGCACCAAACAAACTGTATATTTTAACACATGGAAAACTTCAGCCCCCTGTCCTCTTTCAGTCTCCTAGCCAGGGATATTCATTGTTTGCATCTTTAAAATTCCTGAAACAGTTGAAAGGAATGGATGTCCCAGTGATGGAGTCGAATTTGCGAGTTTCAGCGGTAAAATGGCTTTAGTTATCTGTGCTCCATATCCGCTGCGTTTTCCGCTGTTGTAGTACCTCTACAAATTTTCATTTTTTCCGGTAAAGTGGCATTAACACAAGTTACTTATTTAAGGTTAAAGAAAAAATATAAGTATGAATGATGGAAAACATGAAAAGAATTATTAAAGTAGACAAGAAATGTTTCAGTCCATTAAGTCGTATACATTTCTTACCTTTACCACAATTGGACCTCGTCAGTACGACGACTGTGGTAAAAAGTTTTTAAAAAAATAAGATGGGAGAGTAAATAAGTGGTCATCAGCTTGTTTCGAAGCAATTCTTGAAAGAGAAGTCCATCGACACCCTTCCCAGCATTTGATTGTCTTACTTTCACTTGGATACTTTCGAGTTCCATCGCTTATCATTGAGAATGTTTACAGAGGCGATTAGACTCCTGTATCAGCGAGCATAGGTTATTCGAGCTGTGTGTTTTTCACAAAACGATCCTCCAACAGTCCTAATGAAAAACGAGGTTCTTAGTTGATTTTCTAGCATAAAAAGTATGCAACGAAATGATTGTTCTGCTTCAGCGTTATTCCTCGAATCATGAAAATACTGGATGCAGCTGAAACAGCACTCCGGAAGCAGGTATTGATCTCGGAAATGAATGAAAAACAAATTGAAGAGTACACCCTTCTCACCAAACAGACTGGCAAGTTACTTTCCAATGATTATTAATTTACCAAAATTGTCAAGGCCAACTGAATAACTGATGTAAGATCCGATTCTAGCGGTTTTACTGGGATGATTTTATTCATCTTAAAATATCAGATCTACATTTCTTTAGTGTTTATCTTGTTTCTAAGTTTTGAAGAAGTGCACTTTAGGTTGATCTTGCCCACAGGTTTATTCTTCCTAGCCATCAAAATAGCGTTTTTGAAAAATTTGTGGTGGTAAGGACCCGGGACTTTTAATTTCATTCAAGAATACCTACTCATTTTTTATGCGTTTTTGCATATATGCAAATGCGAAAACGCGTGTTGCGACGACCCCGGTGTGCGTTTGTGTGTGTGTGTGTGTATGTGTGTGTGCGTGTTTGTGTGTGCGTCTGTCCGGGTACTTCAACTCGGCACCCAAGTAAGCTCCGGCGCCAAAATTTTGCGAGTGGGTTACCTGGCCAAGTGGCACTCTAGGACCGCG